TCCCCTTTTCGCTTCTTTTTTTTTTTTTTTTTTTTTTCCCTTCACCCATTTAGTACTTGCTCCCATGGGGGGAAATGCCGCAAAAAAAAAAAAAAAAAAAAAAAAAAAAAAAAAAAAAAAAAAAAAAAAAAAAAAAAAACACGCACAACTCACTTGGAAGGAAACTCTACGGCCATGTAGAGTATGTGCGATGTTGCTAATTTAAAAATATAAAGAATTGTTCTGTTCACACTTTATTTTTATTTTTTATTTATTTATTTTTTTTTACAACGGGGATTTTAAAATGAACAGGAAAGGCTGCGAATTAGGTTAACCGGAACACAAATCTTTTGGAAAACGAATAAACTGGGGGTGTGTGGGGGGGAACAAAAGCGGAAACAGAGTGACAAAAACACGCAAAAAAAAGGGAAGTCAAAAATGGCGCAAAATGAAAGACAAGGAGTGGGAATTTTTTTCTTCTTCCCCGTCAATGCCACACTTCACACATACTCTATCCATGCCCCACAAATGGGATTTGAAAAAAAAAAAAAAAAAGGAAAAAAAATTAACATAGCGGAAGAGTTTATCCCCCTTTTTGCTATATCAAAAAAGGAGGAGCCAGGGGGAGTGAACAGGAGCAAACACACAAACATAGCAAAACGTGTAAACTGTGCAATGCGTGTGGAAACGCGGCATGATATGACTCCCCCGGATGAAAAAACATGCGGCTAACGGGACAGGGAGGTAAGCCAGTCGGGCACACAGCTTCACACACATAAGGGGGGGGCAGGGCAGGAACGTTCTCTCGCCCTTCCACCCTCTATAGGAGGTCATGCTTCATCAACACGTTGGAAGATTCTAGCTTTTTAATTCGCTGTTCTAATGTTTCCAAAGCTTCCGAGTTCAAGCTTTTGGAGAGTAGCATTTCGCACTGCTCGTTCAGCTTTTCGAGTGCTGCAAGGGGGAAAAAATAAAATAAAGCAAAGTAAAATCAATACATATATAAATCATGACCAGGTGTGCTTGGCTATGCGTAGTTGCTGCGTCGCGCTGTGCCTTTGCACACAATGGAGCCAGGGCTCTCCGCAACCTACCGGCAAACTTCATCTCGAAGGTCTTCATCATATTGTGTATGTTGTTTACCTCCTCTTTCAACTCAGCTATTTTTAATTCGAATTCGGCTGAATTCACATAATCATTGTCATTTGAATGTTCGTTAATGTTTTTCATTTTTGTGCTGAGCTGCTCGAATTTCCCGGTCAAAGTTTTGTAAGACACGTACGTAACTAAGGGGGACATGCTGAACACGTCGGAGTATTCTCTCGACTCATCCGACCCTCCAAAAATGTGCAACGACTTCTTATAAGGCAATAAACATAACGATCCGTAGTACCCCCTGTTGAAGCTTCTGGAGGTGCTGATGTCAACTTCGAACCAGGAGAAGGTGTAAATGTTCAATGCGTACATGTCTGTAGAGGGCAATGAGGGGGACATATAACAAGTGAGTGTAACGTTGAGGGTTAGCACACAACAGGCGTGGTGAAAAGCTTCTGATGTGTGTGTGCGGTGTGTGACCTGCACCGCGATCATCTTGGAGGACTTACCAGACAGAGCGTAGTTCTCGATCCACCCGTTTGTAATTCCTCCGTATATGATCATCCACTCGTTGTCGAAGAGTTGTGCGGAGTGCCTGTGAGGAAGCGGACAGGGTGTGTGCGTGTGTGTGTGTGTGTGCATAGGCAAATGTGGTATCCCACTTTTTTATGACCCGTTCAGGCGATTTGTTGCCGCAGCTAGCCATTTTGCCGCTTTTTTTTTTTTTTTTTTTTTTTTTTTTACCATTGCTGATAATTTGTGTTGATTTTTTTTTATTAATTCGATTTCTCCCCTTAGTGCATAAAAAAGCTTCAATTCATTGGAAAGCGAGTTGCGGTCAGGCTGATAGTACCCCGCAAAGGGAAGAAGCCAAAAAAACAGTCTCTCTCCTTTTCGCGCCAACCCTGCGACGTTGTTGTACAGCCATTTAGTTGCATATTTTCGCCCCTTTTTTTCCTGCCTCCAAAATATACTCCTTTAAAATGCGAAAAATTTCTGTCGTCCCGACTGCCTCCCCCCCTTCGTTTGTGCCTTATACACGTGAAGCAAAACTTGTACACACGCGGGCCGAACGTTTGGAAATGCTTTTTAATTTGGCATGCATTTGTGCAAATTTTCCTCCACACACATTATGATCGTCTCCAGTTCTAAAAAGCAGCCATGAGCCTTTTAAAATTTGGGGGGGGGATGAAAAACCATTGTAGGGGGGGCGGAATTTTTCAAAATGGTCAACTGGGTAAACTATTCGCGGGGAAAAGGGAAGCTCTATTCTGCGCTGGGTCGGCCAGCAGATAAAAGTGCATATGAAAGGATACGTACACATATGTACATGCGCATGTATACCTTACTTGCGCGCAAGAAAGCTAAGTTCGCTTAACTTGTGCTCCCCTGATAGAAAGTTAAATGAACAGATAAGAGGCTCCCTTAAAACATTTCCAGCGACATGTTCGCGCTCTGCCCCTCTTAGCGATCTACAACTATACATCGCCGCACTTTTTCCTCCATCAGTGTGGTTCGTACGGATGCGCAAAATGGTAGTCCATTTGGTAAACTCTGCATATATGTCGCGCACGCAGCGGAGGCATGTTTAAAAAAAAAGGTGGAAAATTCGTAGGGGTTATTTTATAACCATTATGTGCACCCTTCTTTGAAGCTCTTCTTAAAGGATGGAAAACTCCTCCTCCTGTTTAGAGGTCACAAAAGTGACATGTTCTCCATTTTGGTATTTTTTCCCATTTAGAAAGTAAAAAAAAAGAAACAGAGGGTTACAGCTTCGTTTTATCAGCGTGCGTAAAATTATCTGTTCCAAAAAACCCACGTCCATATTTCGTTTCGCCCTGTTTGGCAACAATTTTGAAAAAAAAAAAAAAAAAAAAAAAAAGTCAGCTGGAAAAATAGCTAGCCAAAAAGTCATATTTCCACTTGGCCACCATTGTTTAAAAAAAAAAAAAAAGAAAACTTCTATCAACTGAGCAGCAATCTTAATG